TGTGCTGGTCCTCATTTACCTCAGCAGTGATGTCATGTTAGTGTGCTAGTCCTCATTTACCTCAGCAGTGATGTCACATTAATGTGCTAGTCCTCAGTTTTCTCAGTAATGATGTCATGTTAGTGTGCTGGTTCTTAGTTACCTCAGCAGTGATGTCATGTTAGTATGCTAGTCCCCAGTTACCTCCATGGAAACCTTGCTTGCAGGGCCCTGGGGAGCATCCCAGCTCTCGTCCTGCTATATGATAGGACTTATTGCCTTGAAGAAATGTCTGTTGTGGTTGCAGGTTACATTCTGAGTATTTAATATCACTCTCAAACTGTGCCCTTTTCTTTTTCAGATCCAGGGGGCTATCATCATGTCCTCATTGATAGAAGTGGTCATTGGCCTCCTTGGCCTGCCTGGGGCTCTGCTGAGGTATATTGGACCCTTGACCATCACACCCACTGTGGCCCTTATTGGCCTCTCTGGTTTCCAGGCAGCAGGAGAGAGAGCCGGGAAGCACTGGGGCATTGCCATGCTGTAAGTGTTCTAAGAAAACTTCTAGAATGGGGACAATTTTTACCACTGTGTGGAACAGCCTTGTGAAATACTTGGAACAGTCACACTAACTTGAGAATGAATAAATCTATTAAGACAAGAATGTTCTGACACTTTAAATTTTATTCAGTTCAGGCCAGGGCTAGTTAAGTGATTGTTTTAGATCAGAATTTGAGACATGGTAATGGTCATGTTGTTCTAAAGGAAGACTGCAGTGATGTGTGCAGATGGGAGAATTGTCAGGTTTGTTCATAGTGTGGTCCTTGCTCCTGCCCTTTGAGGTCATACAAAGCCTCATGCAAGTTTGCTGTGCTGGGACAGCACATTGTTTAGAAGAAGCTGGCAGCAGAGAGATGTTGTGGAAGGACCTCTGTGCTCTCACCTGCTCTCAACGGAGTGCACTCTGTTGGCAAGGCCACAGTCTCTCACAGGATCTACTTGGTTGGGCAGTATTGGTCCTTCTGGTTGGTTCTGCATAGAACCAAATGCATTGAAGATGTTGATCAGTATTGTATATTAATGAAGACATGTAGGACTTTAACAATCTTATAAGAGAGAATTCACATTGTTTTTTACATTTGTAGAGTAAATGTAAGGGTTATATCATAGGAAAATGCTTCTGAGGATCTGTCAAAATTTTACCAACTAATAAAAATTTTAAAACAAAATATTTCCAATTTTTTTGTTTTGGGAAATATTCCCTATTTAATAACACAGCATTTATTAATTTCTTTTACTGTACCTCTGTGCTTTGTTTAATGGTCACACAGAAGGTAGAGACTAGTGTTCTGTATACATAACAAGTGAAGAGACAGAAGCACAGCGAGGCAGTGTGACTTGCCAGAGCACACAGCTAGTCAAAGGTCAAGATTCTCTGAGTCCATGTGACCTGGCTATGACTCAGCTCGTGGTCACTCCTGCCTCTGTGGTGTGCAGGCATGGGAAAATACCCATGAGTTCTTCTTATTTTCTCCCTTCACTGAAGGCCAGTTAAAACCCTCTCCATACAACATGTGTGTACATATACTGTTAAGGGATTTAACTCAGTAAGTATTATAAAGCTAACATCGAGTTTATAAAACATTAAAATTTAGGACCAATAGCAGAAAAGTTAGGGGAAAGAACTCATAGGAATTTTAAAACACATAAAAATTTATATAATAACTCCTAGTCATTAAAGAGATTGGCGCAGTTACTAATGATTTAGCAGGTGACAGTAGCAGCGATGATAACTGTGGAGAGCTTACAGTGTCCTGAAGAAAGTGCACAGAAACTTTTCTCTCCAGCAGGTAGTAAATCATGTGTCCAAAGTGGGGGAAGTTTACATAAAAGCAGAGAAAACAAATAGAAGTAATACACAAAAGCCATCTGTCTGAGCTAAGAACCTTATAGACCTGCCTGGCGAGGCTGAGTAGAACAGAGTGTGTGTGTACATATGCAGTGAGGGCTGACCCTATAGATCGGAGAGATCTAGATTGAAAACCGTGAAATTTTTCCAGAGAAATATAAATGGTGAAAATGGACTCCTCATACTGTCCCCTGGGAAATCCCATAGCATCCACAGTGACCTCTATGTGAGAAACACATGAACGTATAGCCACTCCATAAACTCTGCAACTAACTTGGCCAGGGCTGCTCCACAGGGTGCCTGGTTTTAGATGGTACACACCCCAGACGGCCCCCTCTCCTGCCTTTCCCCACACTCCAGCTTGTTAGACTCTCCCCTCCTCCCTGGGGCCCACATGCAGCCCAGGACAGACTCTGCATCTGTTTTCCTCCCTGGGGCTTTGCTCCACTTTGGTCCCCAGCTCTCCTTGTTTTACCCTTTTCTGGCTGTTTCTAGTCTATGCAGAGCTTAGCTATTAGTGTCTTCCAGGACCTTTCCTCTGTCCCTCTTTTGAAATCTCAGTGTAGACTCAAGCTAGACTTTTCTCAGATCTCTCTTTTTCTTGGTGAGTCTCTTAAATGTTTTTGGAAAGAGAAACACTACAGTGCAGGTGGTTGTTGCTTGAAACAAAGGTGACAGGTACGGTTGGGGGCTCTTTGGGACATTGTAGATAGTGTTTATCTTGAATAAATAAGTAGTTTCTAATACTATGTTGGTTTTGGTAGAATTTCAGTTTTGTTTTTGTAAATTTCTCTGGCCCCGAGGAACTGAAGTGACTTGGGCCCCATGAGTGTTCTTAGCCTTGACCTAAGCTGTCAGACTTCAATGGGTTACCAGTTCATCTAATCGCCACAGCCAGCAGCCTGTGCTCAGCCAGGCTTTGCACTACACCTCATTAGATGTGCAACAAGGAAGTCAATTTTCTTAGCTAGTAATCCTATCTCAGCAATTGGAATCAATAAGCTTAGCTTTGAGAACACTCTTCTTGTCAACTTTAGCTTAGGTGGCAAGTGAAAAAAGTCACCCCAAAAAGAGAATTTAGACAGCTTGTTAGTCGGTCAGGCACATCCTCCTGTGCCTTTTTTGTTTCCATGAAGCAATAGATCAACCTGGGAGGATGAGAAATGGCCTCCCATTTGCCAGCCACTTGGGCCTTCAGGTCAGTGTAGGGATCCTGCTGCTGGATGTTCTGGGATCAGGAAGTTTTGTAGTCAACTCAGGCAGTCTTGCCCTTACGACAAGCATTGAAGAAGTAATTAAACCCCAGGCTACAGATTTAGACCTTATGGTCAAGTAGATCTGACTGAATGGCTGACTTAGTGCCTGTGGAAAGAGCATGCTCACAGAAGGCGCCTCTCAAGAAGCTATGCACTTTCCTTTTTTAATTTTTAAATTTTTATTTTTTTTTAAGACAAAGTTTCTCTGTCAGTCCTGACTATCCTGAAACTCACTCTGTAGATCAGGTTGGCTTCAGACTTACAGAGATTTACCTGCCTCTGCCTCCCAACTTCTGGGATAAAAGGCGTGTACCACCACCACCAGCCAGCCTGTGCACTTTTCTTAAATATTGAAGTTTCACCTTTTTTCCCCAAAATGAATTCAATATGAATAAATCAAAAAAAATAAAGGAAAGTGGGAAAAATAAATCACCAGTCATTTAAAAATGTGCAACTGATCCTGGTAGCATTTGGATCCTGTCTTTCTCTCCCTTTGGTGTGTATGGACCCAAGTGTACACTTCTTCTTTCCCACTGCTGTGTGTGCACATGTATGCACACTTCCCTCCTCTTGGTGTGCACAGCAGTCCCTTAGTTGCTTCAAGCTGGTTGCTAGTTGTAAGTATCTTCTCTGGTATTGTTGTATCTGGCATCGTTTCCTTCTGCAGAGTGAGTTTTCCCCATTCTCTGGGTTTTCTTACTTTAGTCAGTATTAAGAAATTCCAGGCCCGCTGATTGTGACATTTTTCTCCAGATGATAAAGTAACATTTCCAAGTTGTAGTGAGAAGGACTAGCATTAAATATAGGTGAATGAACTGAACACATGAAATAAATTAAAACTTTAGATGCAACAGCTTTTCATTTTATGAATTTTCTTTCTCTTCTCAGGACAATTTTCCTAGTGTTACTATTCTCGCAATATGCCAGAAATGTTAAGTTTCCTCTCCCAATTTACAAATCCAAGAAAGGATGGACGGCATACAAGTTCCAACTTTTCAAAATGTTTCCTGTGAGTAGCCGATCAGTCACCTCACCCCTACCACAGCATCCCTTTGCTCACACATTACGGCGTTAGGAAAAGGAAGGCTATCGGGAGACCCTCCTGCATCTGTGATGGTGACACTGGAAGGCTGACTACCCCAGTCAGCACAGCCTTAAGGGCTAGATGCCATCTGTGTAAGGGTGGTTCCAAGATCAGATCACATTATTTTGCAGTGCCACAGAAGGACTCCTGTCCATGGCTCTGAGATGTGACCCACGTGGTCCCTGCAGGCATGTTACTCATTCTTCTTCTACTGGCCAGACTTTGGAAGGGTACAGTGAGTTTACCTGCATGAACCTCTCAGTGCACTTCCACTGAAGCAGTTTTATACGGTACTGACGATGGTGGGCTTGGGGTGCTGGTTGCACAGTAGGAAGGGATATTTTACCCAACAAAGACTCTGCCCTTGACCACTCCAGATAATCCTGGCTATCCTCGTGTCCTGGCTGCTGTGCTTCATCTTCACGGTGACTGATGTCTTCCCTTCCAACAGCACTGACTATGGCTACTATGCACGCACAGATGCCAGGAAGGGTGTACTTCTGGTAGCCCCATGGTTTAAGGTTCCATACCCATGTAAGTATCAGGAGGGCCCAACTGAGAGGGGTGGGAAGTATAGGCAAAAAGCTCTAGATAATGAAAAGCCTTTTTGGAATGCTCTTTACTTAGACATTTTTTTCTAATCATTTGTGTGTGTGTGTGCAGAAGACAGCCTCAGAAGTGGCTCTCACCTTTCCTTTGTTGAGAATTGGGACTTTTTGTTTTTGGCCACCATGTACACCAGGCTGGCCATGCTGTGAGCTACAGGAGCCCACCTCCTCTCTGGAGAAGCACTGGCATTACAGATATGCAGTGCTGTGTGGGTTCTGGGGAGTTCAGCCCATGTCCTCATACGTTGCATGGCAACCATATGGCAAGCTCACTGAGCCTTCTCCCTAACTCTAAAGCTGGAAGATCATCTTGGCCACTGTGGTCACTAGGGAATTAGTGGAGGGAAGTTCTTGTCCCCAGAGGTCAGTCATCCATAAACAGTCACTGACCAGTTCTCCTCTCAGGTTAACTACTTGTCCTTCGGGGCTCTGTTAGGCTCTGAGCTGTCATGGTGAGGATTTGAGGGCACTTGCTGAGAAAGACAGCACAGAGCTCCTTGGTACCAGAGCTGTGAAAATGAAAAGACCTGGAGATTAGCTAGCTGGCCGCCCTGCCTGCAGGGTTTATGTAACCAGTTTACTTTGGTCACAGATATAGAGGTAAACTGATACTTGAGGGCAGCCGGAAGCCGGAGCTTAGGCCTCAGTATTGGGTGACTCGGGGTCAAAGCATGAACCTCCACCCAGATCTCCTGAGTGACAGGCAGCATTCTCCAGATCCCAGCTCTAAACCGTACTCGCCTGAACCAGTGGCTATAATGCTGGTCCCACATTTTGGGGTTTTCTTAGAGAATGAGCTTAGCCAGGCTGAGCCAGTTACCCCATTGAGCTGCCTTATTTTCTTATTTTACAATGAGAAACCTAAAAAGCAAGAAAAGCCAAGAATATTAAGGTTGGGTCAAAGATGATTCCTGCAGGCCTGCTGAATGGTGGTAATATTGGCAGCTCTCCCCTTTGTTCCTGATACTTTACAAAAGCTTTAACAGGCTTAGCCTTCTAAAATAACATTCTCGTCACATGGCGTCTCAGTGTGTATTTATATATACTATCCTGTTTCCAGAAAAATGTGCTTGGTTCATAAACATACCTATAATCCAAGATAAATTGAGACTAAAGGTTACTTGGTAAGGCACCATGGGAGGACAGAACAGAGAAAGAGCCTCAGCACACGCACATGGCCCGCTCATGCTCATGTCAGCTTCCCAGCTGACAGCCAGTGGGAATATAAGCAACCAGCTGATCCTCACTGTGAGGGGCTCTCCAGGGTCCTTATGCAGCCCATACATGCAATGGTGCCACTGAATAGGCAAGGTGTGTGGCATCAACATGAGGGTAACTGAGCTCATAAGCGTCTCTTCAGGACAGCTTTCAGCTTCCAAGATCTAGCTAACTGTCTTCTACTCAGTTCCTGAGTAAAAGGATACCCTTAGTCCTGTGCACTTTCCAGCAGTTTGGGTCAGAGAGAAAGTTTTCAAATATCAAGCAATGCTCCCAGCCTTCAATATTGGAAGGATTGCTTAGATTAATGTTAACATACAGAATTCTGGTCCAAGATGTCAGCAATGCCAAGTTTGAGAACCTGTTGCACCACCCTGAAATGTTAGGCCAGGCACATGTCCCTACAGATTGCCAGCTCTGGGAGGCTGAGGCAAAAGGATTATGATTTTGAGATCATAAACAAACTCAAAACTAGTTAGCAAACAAAGTTCTAGTTAAAAGGAGAGATAAAGTAACAGCTTTAAGGCAGAAGTAAAAAAGGTATGTGTGTGTACACACATACACAGAATGAAAACAGATAAATCAATTAAAAGTTTAAGAAGGGGCTGGAGAGAGATATAATAGCTCAGTGGTAAGAGTTCTTCCAGAGGCCTTGGCTTCTATTCCCAGCAGCCACTTGATAAACCACCTGTAACTCCAGTTCCAGCAGGGATCTGATGCCCACATACAGGCGAAGCACACACATGGTGCACAACCATCCATGTAAGTACACTCAAAAACATAAAATAAAGTCTTTAGAAACTTAAAAAATATTTCAAACTTATCAGACTTAAAGACTGCGGGTAAAAGGAATTTAAAGTGTACTTCACGAAAAATGATTCAGGCGGAGTATCCTCTTTTCCAAACTGCTTGGCACTCTGGATATCTTAGAATTAGATAGTTTTGGATTGGGAGTTTATGTACTGTATCCCCAGAACACTGAGAGTAGGTCTAAGCATGAAGGTCATATACATTTCACTCAATGATAAACCACCTGAAGGCCATTTTACACACGCTTTTTAGTACAGCTGCATTTTATTTTATTTTATTATTTTATTTTTAATGTATATGGATGCTTTGCCTGCAAGTATATCTGTGCGATGTTTTCCTTCCTAGTGCCCATGGAGGCCAAAGAGGGTATGGTATCTTCTGGAGCTGGAGTTATAAACATTTGTGAGCTGCCATCTGGGTGATTGAAATCAAACCGAAGTCCTCTTAAAAACCAGTACTCTTAACCTATGAGCCAGCCCTCCTGCATTTTGACTGTAATGTAGCACAGAAAATTAGATTTGGAATTTTCCACTTGTGATGTCATGTTAGTTCTTTTTAAAAAAAAACCCACCAGATTTTGGAACATTTTGTATTTTTTAGTTAGGAATATGTTCATCTGAAAATGGTCGAATGTAATAGGAATCTTCCCTCAAAATCAGGATACTAAAGAGAAACCAGTGTTAACATTGTAACAGCCAAAACTCCAAATGGAACTTGACAAATAAGGTCCGTGAACCAACCCTGAGAGAAAGTACAGGCCGGCAGTGCGGCTCCTCTGACTGCTCCCACTGAGTAGGGCAGTCCCAGCAGGAGCACTCCGGCCCTCCCCTCGGCTCCAGCCCTGGTCTGCGCATCTTAATCTTTCTCATCTTAACTGTTCCTGGTCATCTCAGAGTGCCCAGAGCTACTCGGTTTGCTCCTGCACCAGAATTGTGTTTTCTATTTTCCCACTGTGTGACATCTGGGTTATCATTCCTAATGGCTCAAGGAAGAAGGGCAAGTGAGTTTATCAGGAGTTTCTTCATATTGGCAATAAAAGATAGATACACTTTCTAAAGAAAAATGAGTTAACTTTTCCTAACATTGTTTGTAGTATACTCTGACAGCAAACAAACCTGCAAGTAACAAGGTAGGGTTTCGGCACACTTGACTGTCGGATTAGAGTAGCTGTAGACTGTTCACTCGGTGCCACTACCTTGTACCCTGATTCCTACCACTGTATTATGAATCCCTGGAACAAATTTCTATTCCAAGCCAGGAATGTAGTCCCAGCCCTGTAAACCCCACACTCTGGAAGCTGAGGCAGGGGGCTTGCCTACGCACGCACGCACTCGAGTGTACACACATACACACACACACAGACACCCCAGGTTATCCAGTAACACTATTTCAATAAACAAAAGCAAAACAAACTTTTGTTCCACCATAGCAGGCAGTGTTAAACTATACATTAGTAGAACTAGGAACATGACTTTGAAGAAGAGAACTTCCCATCCCTTCCACCTAAGTGAAAGCTTTCTTAAGGTGAGGAGGTCAGCTCTCAACCAAGGCCCCAACTCAGTAACCTTCCCACACATCTAGTGTATTAATGACTTAAGATCCAAAAGCAGCCAGTTTGCAAGAGCTTCAAAATCCTGCAGAGATAGTGCAGAGTTCCCTGAGGTCCTTCTAACCTTTGCCTGTCCCTAGAGGTAAGTGAACAGGTCTTTCATGGCTGTCTTCCCTCCTCAGTTCAGTGGGGGATGCCCACCGTCTCTGCAGCTGGTGTCATTGGCATGCTCAGTGCTGTTGTAGCCAGTATCATTGAGTCCATCGGTGACTACTACGCCTGCGCCAGGCTCTCCTGTGCCCCACCACCTCCTATCCATGCAATAAACAGGTATGTCCCAAGAAAGACCTGCTCATCTAGCCTGGGGGAAGAAGCTGGGAGCTTTGGAACTGGCCGTTCGCCTTTGGCCAAGTCACTGCCCTTAGCACCCTGCTTGTCTCGTCGTGGCACAGAGAGAGCAGCATCCTACCTTCCTTCCTCCCAGTCTCTCTAGCTGATTGGAGAGGAGAATATATCTCTTAGGAGTTTGAAGACACTTACACACGAAGCTCAGTAAAACAGACATAGACATTGCCATTCTTTGCTTGGCTTTGAAAGTAGACACATTGTCTACTTTGATTTTCTGTTGTCTTCTTTTCCCAAATGCTCACCTCACTCCACACCACCCCAAAAACTCAAACTTTAGATTAATTGTAGTGGAACAACATCTTCAGGGTTATAGGATCCTTCCTTCCTTCCTTCCTTCCTTCCTTCCTTCCTTCCTTCCTTCCTTCCTTCCTTCCTTCCTTCCTTCCTTAATAAATGCAGGTTTATTGGGAAGCTGCTTTTGTTTTTTTTTTGTTTGTTTTTTTTTGGGGGGGGTTGTTTGGTTTTGTTTTCATTTTGGTTTTTTGAGACAGGGTTTCTTGTGTAGCCCTGGCTGTCTTGGAACTCGCTCTGTAGACCAAGCTGGCCTCGAACTCAGAAATCTGCCTGCCTCTGCCTCCCAAGCGCTGGGATTAAAGGCGTGCGCCACCACTGCCTGGCTTATAGGGTTATTTCTGAGTTGAGGAAATTGTGGTTTTCTCCTGTTCAGTCCTGGGTGCCATAGTCAGACAGATGGCAGGACATTTTTCTTGCATCAGACAGTAACTGTTGTAGGTATGTCAGTGGATATATTTCAGTTGCCCTTCAGGGTGATCTGTTCACAGTCATGATTCACAGAAACAGACAAGAACAGGGAGAGATGAGAACTCTTAGGATCAGGAGTCTTACGAGCTGTGGGGTTTGCGCTACTTTAGCTTCTGAAAGTCACTGGGGATTTATCCTAAGGTAGGCACCAGAAAAGAGCACAAGTCACCTCTCACTGTTGTTGTCCCTCCAACACCAGTCAGCATGACTTGTACTGGGTATGGGTGAGGGCTCTGTAAGGCTTTTCACAGTTCTCTCAGAATTGCTACATGTGAGGAGACTGCTCATTTTAAATTTTCAAAAAAAAAATAATAGTTACAAGCTTACAAAGCATTTTTTCCTTATGAAACTATTTTAATAGCAAAGAATCAAATTGATGTGTCTTACTTTAAAGCACAGCTGATGTTTCTTTTAGATTTAGTAGTTCTTTAGTTTCATTTGAAATTATTTTAAAGTATTTGTGTCTAATGGGCAGTGTGGAACTAGCCTTCTTAGAGCTGATAAGCATATGGGAATTGTCCTCAGCCCATCAGAGAAGGGACCTGAGATTCTGCAACTGCTACTGATTAGCACCCCTGCCCCACCCAAGGGGGCATAATTGTTATAGGTTTCAAACATTAAGAGCCTGTTTCAGTGTTTCCCCATAAATGACGGTTTCTCTTTCTCCTCCCTCTCCCGCCCTTTTTTTTTTTTAACTTAGGGGTATTTTCGTGGAGGGTCTTTCCTGTGTTCTCGATGGCATATTTGGTACCGGGAATGGCTCTACCTCCTCCAGTCCCAATATTGGAGTTTTGGGAATTACAAAGGTATAAATGTTTTCCTAATTAAATGGCTGAGCATCTGTTCATTTCAATGATGGGTCTGACTTGACCCTTCCCTTTTGATTATCTTCCTTTCCCATCTTCTTTCCCCGTTGGATGAGTTTGGAGTGCCAGCTAGGAGACCTGTCTTCGTTTAGCCACCAGGGTAGGAGGCATCTGGGTATAGCTGTGGCATACATTGGTTAAGCATCCGCCTGTGCCAGGCCTGTGCATGACGAAAAAGAAAATTGGAGTTTACATCTGAATGAGGGAAGACCACAGAATTCAATAGAGCATGCTGGATGAGAGATGCTTGCTACTACAGAAAACCATCTGTCACATTAAATAATGGTCTCAAACTTCTGGGACAGAACTCTTTTCAGTAAAATTTGAAGTCATGGTGAAACAGATCTTGGATCTGACTCCTAAACTCACTTGACCCTACCAAGCACTCTACCAGACCTAGTTATTGACATGTGTACAAACCTACAGCTGCCCCACTCCCAAACCCCACTTCTGTAAGAATGAGTCAGCTATATACCTGTCAGCTTATTATGGGCAAGTAAACGTTTTGTCCCAGTTGCCTTATAGTGCTGCTTGCCAGGACATTGAGGAGCACTGGTTGGCCCAGCAGCCATTGGATGTTGTGTAACTAAAGGCTGTTAAGATTGATTCCCCTTTCTTTTGGGGCTGTATGAGTCATAAGTCTCCTTACCTGAGAAGCCAATCCGGAAGCCTTCTAGACCTGTTTGACCTCTAGCTCCATGCCGATTCTATAACCAGATAAAAAGAAACCCAGTACTGTTTGGTTCATCTTGATTACAAATCCAGGTGAGAGGGAGCAGCATCCAGATGCAGGAAGTACACCTGACTTGTTTGGTGATCTTCCCGTAAGAGGCAGGGCTGATGTAAGCTCAGCTTCACCTGTGCCGATGGCACCATCTGCTGCTGCCTATTGCTACCAGTACGTGGCACAGAGGGAGGGAGACTTAATGATTGTTTCCTTCGGTACTGTTGCTGGAGTCTCAAGTACTGCCTGTGAAAGGTAGCAGATGTGGAGCCTGGGGAGCTGAAGGTATGGTCTGATGGGCAGACTGTACAGTAACCAGCCACCCCTGAACTTCTGTTTTCCCACAGGCCTATGGGCAAATAACTAGTTATAAAAAGGCAGGTTGCTGAGAGGGTCTCTTGTTTAACAGGCACCATCCTTCTGTATCCTTGCAGATGTCACAGAACAGCTGAGGTCACTGAAAGGAAACACATACCCTTTACAGCATGACCATGGTGGCTCAGGGGTGACTGATCTTGAATGGTAGAGCTTTTCTGAAGTGGTGCCCAACAGTATTTACTCACTTTGTTGTGCAGGGAAAATATATCCATGAGTGCAGTTCCCACAAGGCCAGAAGTTAGCATCAACTCCCCTTGGTGCTAAGCTAAGGTACTTGTGAGTCTTTAAACATAGGTGCTGGAAGAACAGCATGAGCTCCTAACCTCTGAGCTAGCTCTTCAGCCCATCATTTATATTGCTCTGAATCCCTTGTTTCTCCAGGCAGAAGCTGTATCCCTTCAAGACACTCACTGTCAAGTCCCTAGTCTACATCTGCCTTAGAGCAGGGAGGTAGAGCTTGGAGCAGAAATGTCTATGTGGCCCCAGCCCTGTGGCCAGCTAGGAAGACTCCCTGCTTGGGGTGAGAGGGTGTGAGCTGTGCAGTGATTAGACCTCTCATCCTGCTAAATGGCATGGGACAAACAACCTTTATGAGTAAGGCACAGCTTTTAAGTCCTGCAGTTCCAGGTCTAGATCCAGGCTGTCTTACATGGCAGTCAGTAGCCACATGTAGCTGTGATCACTTAAATAAGTTAGTGTTAGAGTTTCCTTATCCAGTCACAATGACCATATTTCAAGGCTCAGTCATTGCACACGGGTTGGTAGCTGGTGGACAACAGCACATTCAGAAAACATTTCCACTGTAGCAATCTCCTGGACAGACAGGCTGAGCCATTGAACCAGACTTGGTTTGAAAGACTGCTCTGTCCTCCACCAGTCTGCCTGCATTTATGGCAGCTCTGCTGTTTGCAGCTTTTCTCCAGTTACTGCGTTCCTTGGACTTGGAATTAATCTTCTCACCAGAGATGAGCTACCTGCCTTGCCTGTGCTAAGTGTGGGCCATGTGTCCCTCAGAGAGGACAACAGGACACAAGTGGGAATGGGCTGCCCTGGCCCCATGACTTTTTCTCATCATGATCACAGCAGGTTACCTCTTTGGTCTCTGAGCCTTGGTCTGTAAAAGTAGCTTGCAAGATGTTAGAATGTATTACCTGATACCAGTTCAGCATAGCTTTCTGGCATGGTCCAATTATCAGCTATGTTACAGATACTTTCAAAGGTACAGTGGGCAAGCAAACCAGCAGTTTGCATTCTTAGGCCCATTCACTATACCACCTTTTATGGGCAGACAGCTCTAGAGGAGGTGCTTCCACAAATGGAAGGGTGCTATTTACCTGACTCTGGAAGGTGGAGTTGAGTCACAAGGACTGTTTGGGTGAAAAGTCATATGCAAAAAGTGGGAGAGAAACAGGAACAGTATGTGTCATTGTTGTATCCATGACTCCAGCCCAGGAAGTCATTTCAACCAGTGACCCTGAAAGCCCACACTCAGCTAAAGCAACTACACCCAAGAATAGATAAAGTCTTAATCTCTAACTCCTGATCCCAGGGGTCACCTGTTTACAGCTGCAACAGTGAACTGAGGTAGTGGAATGGAAGGTGGCAAGCATAGAGGGGATCTTGTGTTGTCTCTATAGTCCCTGTTAACAGAACAGAAAGTCTAACCTAGGTCCTGCCCTAGACACTGCCATATTTGCCCTGGGAGACTGGGTTGAAGAATGTGTCTGCAACTGATGTGTCCACAGGTTGGCAGCCGCCGAGTGATCCAGTATGGTGCAGCTCTCATGCTGGGCCTGGGCATGATTGGCAAGTTCAGCGCCCTCTTTGCCTCCCTCCCAGACCCTGTGCTCGGAGCCCTCTTCTGCACACTCTTTGGTAAGAGCCCACTTCCTTGGTAGCAATTTACTATCACCCGCCCTTCTCCATGTTGGCAGATTCTTTTTTAAAATCAAAATGCTTATTGTTGCTCTTTGCACAACTTTTCTATACAGGCGTCAGTCTTCAGACCCAGTAGAAGTTTTGTGCAATAGAAACTCAGCACTCAAAATCTGGACCATAAAAATACATGCAAAATGTACTTGTCTGAGAACACTGAACTTTGAACAGAGCACTGAGCTGCACAAAGGCAGAATGAAAGCAGTGTTTCAGCTTCACCAAAAGCAGTCATCATAAAAAGTCACCTCATACACAGCAGCTAATTCTTAATGGAGATTTTGGTGATTTTGTCAATAAGATCTAACAATAAATCTAATAGTTTCCACTTTAAATTGTAAAAGGTGGTGCTTCAAAGATATAAAGATTTGTATCAGTATCCAAGTTAAATGTATGTTAAAGATAGAAGCAGTCACTAAGAAAATTATATGAAAATTAAGATAAAATTTAATCCCTTTAATTAGAATTTCTATTTGATTTAATTCAGAAGTATTCCCCCAATAAATGAACTCTTTCAACTGACACTTTCACAGTGGGACTTTGGGTTTGATCCGCACCTTTCAGATCCAATCATTGTGGACATGCACCAGATTTCTAACATGAGTTTAATCAAAATGCTTAGAGAGAGTAAGAGATGACTCAGCAGTTAGAGCACTAGCTGTTCTGAGGGGACCTGGGTTCAATTCCAGCCCCAACGTGGACTCACAACCCCAGTTACAGAGCATCTGACATTGACTTCTGGCCTCCATGAGTACTAGGCACACACACTTGGTACACAGACATAAATGTGAGCACAATACTTGCATAAAGTTAAAAAAGAAAACTAAACTGTACCATTGTCTGTCTACTTGATTTAAAGAAAATGTAGCATGATATTTATGTGTGATGTAATAATTCGGGTCAGAGACAGGTGGTCATACTCTACCAACCCTCTCTTTCTGCCACTGCACTGGTCTCCAGGCTGGTTTCTGAGGGACAGAGAAAGGACACATGGGAATCTATTCTCAGCCTCCAAGATAACCTGTCAACATGCTGTAGACAGACTCAGTGGAACTGTGTTCTGATGCTTTTCTCTCCAGGAATGATCACAGCTGTTGGCCTCTCTAACCTGCAGTTCATTGATTTGAATTCTTCCCGGAACCTGTTTGTGCTTGGATTTTCCATCTTCTTCGGGCTTGTGCTTCCAAGTTACCTCAGACAAAACCCTCTGGTTACAGGTAGGAGAAAGAGGTCTTGAATCTCAGGGTAGTTGGGATTTCAACCATAGATTGACAAATAGCTCTTGTAATGGGAAGAATTGCTGAATGTTTTTTCTCTACCTTCCTTCTGCATCCTGCTCTGATTATTTCTGTGGAAGCCACCAGGCTATCCCATAGACATTAGCGCGTGCCTCCATACTTGCCTGGGGGTGCCCTTAAATTGGTGGACATTTGATGTGCTAAAGTCTCACTGTTTTGTTTGGTTTTTCGATTGGTTGGTTTTTCAAGACAGGGCTTCTCTATAGGCTTGGTTGTAGGCCAGGCTGGCTTCTAATTTATAGAGATCTGTCTGCCTTTGCCTCCCAAGCTCTGGGGAGGCACTCACCACCACACCCATTTTTTTTGTTTTTGTTTGTTTGTTTGTTTGTTTGTTTGTTTTCCCAATTTTTCTGTTTTATTTTACATGTGTGAATGTTTTTCCTGCATTTGTGTACATGCCCATCAGCTGCATGCAGTGCCAGAAGAGGGCATCAGCTTTCCCTGGAACCAGAGAAACAGAAGAATGTGAGGCACCATGTGGATGCTAGAAACCAAACCTGCCTCTGCAAGAACAATAGGCACACTTACCCAGTGAATTGTTGTCTCTCGCTGGGTCTCAGTTTTTAATGGATACCTCTTCTTTGGCTCTGTAAAACTTTTGATTTCTCGGACTCATGCTATATTAAATTGTATAATTCCTTAAAAGTCAACTTCACAGACTTTGATATAAAGTTTTCTGTTTTCAATTCAAGAATACCTAGAGCCTAGAAAGATGGCTCAGTGGTTATGAGTTCCTTTTAAAAATATTTATGTGTGTGTGTATATATATAAATATGTGTGTGTGTGTGTGTATGTGTGTATGAGTGTTTTGCCTGCATGTATGTATATGTACCACGTGTGTGCCTTGTGCCTGAGAAGGTCAGATGAGGGCTTTGGTTCCCCTGGGACTGGAGTTAAAGACAGTTGTGAGCTATGTGTGTTCTTGGAAATGAACCTGGGTCTTCTACAAGACCATCAGGTGTCTCTATCCAGTGAGCCAACTCTCCATCCAGCCCCAGTTGGGAGCTCGTAATACTCTGGTAGAGGCCCTGTGTCCAGTTTTCAGCATCCACATGGAAGCTCACAACCGCCTGATCTGGAAGTCTAAAGCTGTCTTCTGACCTCTGCAAGCAAGCACTGCATGCAGTTAGTGTCCAGACACACATGCAAGCAGACACATGTCCACACAAGAAACAGATCTCTAAATACAAAATGCCTATTTAGGGCCTACTCTTTATTTTAATAAAGCCCCGCTGTCCAGCAGCATGACCTAAGGAGGAACCTTTTTAAGAATATCTGTTGCTACTGATGCATTACTTTAACAATTGAATAATTCAGGACCATTTGTTCAAATTTTCTTCCTACATAGGCTCTCATATGTAGTCCAGATTGGCACTGAACACATTTAGTAGGCAAGGCTGACCTTGAACCTTTAATCATTTTGCCTTCACCTCCAAGTGCTGGGGCCACAGGCATGTGCTACCATACCTGGCTCAAAATAACAAAGCAGGCAATCTAAATTTGAGGGCAGCCTGCTTTACATAGTGAGTTTAAGGATAGTCAGGGCTAAATAGAAAGATCCTGTCTCAAAAAACAAGCAACAGCAATAAAAAAAAGATCCCCATTTTTAAAGTGGCATGAACAGGGAGGCCTCGTGGCTCTTTTGTAGTCTCAGCACCCAGGAAGCTGACACAGGAAAATTGCCCTGAGTTTGATACCAGCCCCAGCAATGTAGTGCGTTCCTGGCCAGCCTGAGCTATATGTAGACTTTGTCATCTCTCCTCGCAAATATTGTTATTATTCACCTTGTAATTTTTTGCAGCATTAAAACAGCCACTTATTAAAAAGATTTAATTTTATTTTATAAATATGTGTGGTTTTTGCCTGTGTGTATGTCTGTATTATATGTGGGCAGTACCCATGGAGGTTAGCAGAAGACATTGGATCCCTGACAACTAGAGTTACACATGGTTATGGGCTACCACGTGGGTGCTGGGAAGAACAGCCAGTGCTCTTAACTGGGGAGCCGTCTACCAAGCCCCACAAAGGCCATTTTTAGTACTGAATCTTTTGTAGGTCTGTAGACCACACTTCATTACCTCTACAATCTATTACAGTCAGTGTTAAAGTCACTTTACGTGGTTCATCAGCTGTGCACTGTTGTTAATACCATGAACTTACTGTTGCAAGTCTCCGTAATAGCTTTAAATGTTGCTGGCACGTGTACAACTGAGAGTTTCATATGCTTAAAATCCTCTGTTAACTTTCAGAGGTGTCCAGTCTGCTGCCTCCTCCTCATGCCTCTTAATGGTGGTTCTGTTCTGTGTCCAGGTATAACAGGAATTGATCAAGTACTGAATGTTCTTCTCACAACTGCTATGTTCGTTGGAGGCTGTGTGGCTTTTATTTTGGACAACACCATCCCAGGTATGTGCCGTATGTTAGGCTTGTTAGATGCACAAGCAGTTCTGGAGGAAGAGCAAGGCCTCAGTGTAGCCCAGGTCTTGAGCTTTGTCTCCCTGCCTTTGTCATACAGAAACAAGAACCACAAATAGTGCTCAGTGACTTTTGCTGTGAGTACCAGCTACCCAGGAGGATTCCCTAGGTAGTAGCTAAGGCCGGAGAGTCCCTCCAGTCCAGGCGGCCAGCCTGAGTAATATAGTGAGAGCCTGTCTTGGGAGTGGGAATAGGAATAAATCAGTTCAAAGCTGTCACTGGTAAACATTGTTTTCTGAAGTGGAAGATATGATACTCCATCCAGATGACTGCTACAAGACAGCACATACATCAGCCTGTGTGTGTCAAGAAGGCAGAGATGGCTCAGGCACACCCTGGGTTCCTGTCTTCCTTCTCAGCCTGAGCCTGCTGCTCTACATTTGTATAGTCCTGAGCTGCTGCAAGTAAATCTCTCAGAGAGGGCTGCTGTGCTATTGTTAGATGCTGCTTTTAAGGACAGATGACACAGTCCATCTGTCTGTGTCTCCCATTGGTTCCTCAGCAGTTTTGTGAATGAGACATTTTAGTGTTGGATTGGTTTTTTTTGTTTGTTTGTTTTGATTTTCTTTTTTTAAAGAATTATTTACTTATTTTATGTACATATGAGTACACTGTAGTTGTCTTCAGACACACAGCAGAAGAGGGCATTGGATCCCATTACAGATGATTGTGAGCCACCATGTGGTTGCTGGGAATTAAACTCAGGACCCCTAGAAGCAATCAGTGCTCTTAACTGCTGAGCTATCTCTCCACTGGATTGTTTTAAGGGGTAATCTTAAAACCTTCAAGTCTAGGAATAAAACCAGTACACCTCCCATGCCCCATATCAAACTGGAACAAAGCAGTAAAAGCTTAGGTGAGTCCAGTTGCTCTTTGAAGACAGTGTGTGTTTTACATTGTCATTTTAGAGAGCCAGTTCTTTTACTACATTCCAATAGATGGTGAAGAAGGCATAGTGAGGTGACTAGCCAGCCAGTTAGGAGACTGATTGGTGATAACCTGGAAAGTGGTTACTTGCCTACATCAGACCTCAACAGTGAAAAAGGAGTCCTGTAAAAAGACGGGGAAGACATGAAGTCACAAAGTCACTTGACTGTGGAAAATGTGGGATAAAGAGGAATAGCCACCCCAAACTTTTTTATTTTGGCACTTGACGAGCTAAGTATCTTCAGCTCCAGCTCCTCAGGTTTTCTGTTTGCTGTCATTGGGCAGATTTGGTTTCTAGAGTGAGTGTGTGTGTGTGTGTGTGTGTGTGTGTGTGTATACACATGCACATACACATGAGCACTTTGTCTGCCTGCCTCATTACTAAGATAACTAAGTATTCCTTTTGTGTTTCTTCGTGTGCGGAGCAGGTACCCCTGAGGAAAGAGGAATCAAGAAATGGAAGAAGGGTGTGAGCAAAGGGAACAAGTCTCTTGACGGCATGGAGTCCTACAATTTGCCATTTGGCATGAACATTATTAAAAAATACAGATGCTTCAGCTACCTGCCTATCAGCCCAACCTTTGCAGGCTACTCATGGAAAGGCTTTGGGAAGAGTGAGAACAGCCGAAGTTCAGACAAAGACTCCCAGGCCACAGTATAGCCTTTGCTGTGCCCTGTGGCCTGGCCACAGTGAGGCATGTATCTAGTTCCTTGCTGAATAACAAGGAGATATATGTTTGTATATCTACATGGCATCCTGCACCTCAGAGCTAAGACAGGCTGCACATCACTCTTCTGTAGTGGGTGGTGATTGTGTCCAATATATGGTGTCTCACTTGTGTCCTTATTGGTCCCTTACCCTTTCTGTGTCCATTGCTGGCCATGGTCACTGAACTTGAAATCACAGTCCTGCTATTGGAGTGGGCATTTGGAATCTCTAGTGCTTCTGCTTTCAGTCCCCTCTGCCTTCCAGCACTCTGTTTCCTACAAGCTGCTTCGAGGTCCAGGGGTTTCTGCTTCTTAAACACTATGTCCCAGTCTTCTCACGTGACCTCAGCCTGAACCCTGTGGAGACCTCTTCTGGCCAGGGGGCCACTGGTGTCCTTACTTTGTTGTGATTCTGTTATCCCTGATACCCCAGGAGCCTATTGACCTGACTGAGAATAATGGCGTGTCTGTCTTGTGACCAGATGTGAGTGTGCATAAGGTCCTGTCTAGCTATGACTGGGTGGAACTGTACAGGAGATTGACAGGGAATGGAAAGGTCCTGAGTCAGTGGGATTCTCAACTGTGCTCCCTCCTTGTCACCCTGAACCCATCCAGGCCAGCACAGTTCATTCTAGTCTGTTTTACTGGCTGAGACACCCTATTTGGCATTTTCACTACTGGTTGATGTATGTATAGAGTGCCCACAGATAAGTCTATGGATGTCTTGGCTCTGCTCTCCTGTACTTATGTGTGTTTTATTCCTATTTAATGTTATTGACTATAGCAGATTTTTGAAATCAGTGTTTTCCGTGTGAACTTCCAACCTTGCATCCTGTTCCTTGTCCTGTACTCTTTACTCCATCAAGAAAAGAACCAGCGTCTGCAAAAGCCGTGGGTGCCATCAGGGAAGCTTCTTGTGTTGGCTGTTGAAAGCCAGTGACAATTGTTGTGGGTGTGTTTTGTATTGCTCTATACCATGAAAGTGTAAATACTGTAATGTCTAATCTATTTATCACAACTGACTACTGGACCAGGGCCCAGAAATGTGGGTCAAGTTACATGTGAATTTGTTGGTGAAGAAGGGAAGCTGGGACAGTAACGGATTTCACTCATGGGATGTGCCATTATCTAGCTAAGGTCACTCCTTCCTTCTGTTGCAAGTTATTGCTGGCAGATCTGGCTTAATAAGACTGTGTGTGAGTTGTCAGGTCCCATGTCTACTGGATCTTGATTCTTGCAGGAGGGAAGATTTGATCCCTTAGTCAAATAGCCTGTGGAATTTGTTACAGAAGATAGTAAAAAAAAAAACAGTCTTTGGGTTCCCTCTGTGAAGAGTTCTAACTTGGAAAACAAAAGTCTTGCAGTCAAAAGACTTGTACGGAATTTGGCTTTGGTTTCCAAGCCAAGGGAAAAGCCGAAGACACAAGTAATTACCTTGCTTCATGAGATTGTACCTCTTAAGTGGCTATGGACCTGGTTGAACTGTGGGTGACAGTGGGCATCTCCGTCACCCTTAGCAAGGTGTGGTTCTCAGTGCCTGTCCATGGTATGTGTTCTGTGCCCAGGCTGGCTCAGTGTCATCATGTTGCCAGGTCTTTGGGTTTCTGCAACCCTCATGGCCCTTGAGAGTTTAGGGTTGCAGTAACGCCTCAGAGCCACTGCATTGTTTTGCCAAAATCTTACTCCAGATTAAGTACAGAACTTGGTTTCTAACCGTATTTAGTTTTATATGTCTATTCAGACAATTAGTGCTTTGGAAGCACATTGGTGAGTAACTTTTTGTCCCTCCTTCTTAGCAAGCCAGTTGGCTGACAGCTCTCCTGCTCTGCGTTCGCTCTGTGCCTCCATTTGCATTTAGTTTAGTTGATCCAGTTTCTCTGTTCTGACAAGGTGGAAAACTGGTAAGCATCTCAGATCTGCAGTATTGGGGTGCTACAGTCAGCAGGAGCAGGAGTCCACCCAGAAGCCTGAGAACGGCCTGTAATCCAGGCCGTGTCCTACCACCTATGCCTGTACTGCCGAGTACCACCCTAGTCTTCTGTTTGGCTGTAGTTTGCTCCGGGGCTTTCACTATCAATCTGGGGCATGGGCTCAGCAAGTATCTATGTGGCCAAGGAAGTGCTATGCCAACATCTCCCGTTAGAAACAGGATTTCCCCTTCTTGCTTCATCAGTGCCAAGTTTTGATATTCCTGGAGAGGACAGGAGGTGGGAGCAAAGAGAGGAGTAGCCTACGCATGTGCCTCCAAGGAGTGGGATGCTGTCTATACTACCGTGAGTGATTGTTACCTTGTAGGCACTAGTAAGGTTTGTCCCATGCAGCTTGTAGTCCTCCCAAACATATAGGGAATGTGTGTTTATGTACCAGATGGGGAGTTTTTAGGGGACTTGGTGGCTATGTGATGTCTGTCCATTGTGTGTCCAGTGTGGACCTGCATTACTGGAACTTGGAGCTGCTCTGTTTGGTTACCAGTGGACTGTTAGAAAGTATTTCAGATGTGAGCATCTTACAGGGCATTCCATCCCTAGTTCTCACAGTGAACACCCACCTCCTCCCTCTGAGAGCAAGCATTTGTGTCAGCCACAGGAAGCAGAAGTATTAAGGAGAGAAGTGCTGGCAGCTACCCTGTGGGGAGACTCCCTTGGGAACGTGGTAATGGCAGCGGCCTTCCTGCCTCTCATTCTCATTTACAAGTTAGACTTCGATTCAGTAGAACATTTATGCTCAGAATGTTTCTTAAGAGGTATTCGATTGGGATTAATCCAGGCAAAAGAAGAGGCTTTATCAGAGAGCTGGAGTGAAGCATTGTGGGTCCCATTTTCACAATAACAAATTCACATGCAGGACTTACTTTATACTGTAGAATACTGACTTTCATGATGACAACTTGATTTATGCATGAATATCAACAGTATTTCCATATAGTAAAATAACATTTCTGCCCAGGATAATAGTCACAGTTTTCCAGGGAGGGAATGATATAATTTTCATGACAATGTCATGTGCTGATAGAATTTCTCCATTGATGAACCTCTAGTATGTGTGTATACTTTATTTGCCCATGTGTATATTTTATGATCGTGATCTAAGCTGTTAATTCTTTCATTCATGTCCCTGCTAAGACACTGATATTAGCAACTTAGACTTAGAGTTGGTGATTTTAATCTTCAGTCATACCAGCTCCACAGAGATGAGGCCTCAGTCCAGAAGCCATCTTCGTAGAAAAGCAGCAGGAGCCTACAGATGGCTGTGCTTGGAACAGACATTTGGCTGCCAGTAGCAGGCCTGGCATGGTGTGCCATGAGGGGCCTAATTACCTAACTGTTGTTGGACACCAGCTGTGCATACCTGAGCATGCCCAGTGCATATTGGGTTCATGCACAGCTCCCGGACCCAAGCTCTGGCCTCCAGGGAGCTGTGTCTTTCTCCGTCCCATTAAGATTTGGACACAGATAAGACATCTTCCACTTTCCTACAGTCATCTTCCTACAGTCAGAACCCCAGTAGTACAAGAAGGCCCCTTATGTGGCAGCATTCAGCTCTCATCCATGGAACCCCAAAGCACAGTAGTGCTGGGCTTCCCTTTCCAGCAGCCTCACAGACCTCTCCATGCTTTCAGGATGTTGACTGCCATGTCACCACTCTGATACCCAGCATTCTCGGATTGCTGTAAATGTTTCCAGTGTTTAGAGCATTCATAACTGACGTTGCTGTCTGCTGCCATCTGACAGACCAGTGAATCCTTTTCTGTCCGTTCCTAACAACTTTTATTTGACACATTAAAGAATTTCTGACTGTCCTTAAGACAGTAGAGATGCCTCTCTTTTATTTGAGTTTTGTGACTGACTTTGCCTATATATCTTTCTGGGGTTTTGTTTGTGTTTATTCTTATTTTGCATACTGAGGGTATTTGGGGTGGGGTTGTTTTTTGAGATGTGTAATTCTTTTATGGAGTTTTTAAAAAGAATTTTCATATTGTTTTTCTAACATGGCTTCATTAAACGTTTAAGTATTTTAAAACTATGTAATATTTGGACCAGATGTTGTGAATAACAGTAGAGAAAAGCTATTTTATTCTGTATTTTTAAAACTGTTCCGTACAAATAAAAGCTCTCCTGGATGTAGTTCTGTTGTCATGTGTCTCTTTCTTGGGCTGGAATTCAATTAAAAGTTATGAGTATTAAGGTTCTTGAGAAACAGATCCCCCCCCCCCCCCCGCCCATACACACACACCCCGACACATACACAGCAGAGGACTGCCCGGTCTGGTCTCAGTGGGAGGAGATGTGAGCCTAACCCTCAAGAGAGACTTGAGGCCCCAGGGAGTGGGGAGGCCTGGTGGAATGGGGAGGGCATCCTCTTAGAGATGGGAGAAGGAGGAATGAGATGAAGAACTGTGGGAGGGTGGACTGGGAGGCAGGCAATGACTTTTATTTTTTATAAAAAAAAAATAATTTAAAAAATAGCCAATGAGATTGAAAAAATATATGCATATATACATATGTGTATGTGAATTTATTAAGTCAGCTTACATTAAAATAATAACAGCTGAATCACACCTGAGAACCAGGTAGTTGCTCTGTTCTTGACTCTGGGTGTCTCAGTAGTTAGTTGCTTGTCACTGGAGAGGCCAACCACCCAGTAGTCTCTGTCCACAAGGTATGGCACACCAGCAGTCCTAGTCTGGTGTCATAAACCTGAGAGCTTCATGGAAGGGTGCTGGTTCTGATACCAGTGAGGAGTTAGCACCGGCAGCAGCTGAGAGGCCAGTAACCTTCCTCTTTTAACCTTTCATGCTCCCTTTTTCAAAAAGCTGCGCCTATCCAGAAGGTTCCATTAATGCAATGAGGACAGTTCTTCAGGTGAGACTCCCTACTCCAGTGAGTCTAACCTGTGGTTAATTGACGTTTAAACCGGAACACCACAACCCAATGGAGGCAAACTGACTAGTAAGGAATTTAACAACTTCACAGGAGGTCTTGTCAGCACATAAGAACTGAAAGCTGGGGTGGAGGGGGTTAATCTGAACCAGTAGAGTCTTGGGAAGGAACAGAGGGGCAGGTCTCTGAGGTGTCAGAGAGGAAGTGATCATGATGGATTTGGGGACAGGTTAGGGTGGGATTTTAATCCCTTTATAAGCAGCAGCCTCACCAGGAAGCCAAGTTGTGGGAGGCAGATAAAGGCCAACCGCTGCTGCTTTGCAGCCAGGCCCCATTCAGCAGGCGCTGTGCTGGGGAGGAGGCCAAAGGCAGATCTTGAGGGGTTGGACATAGTTTTCAAGTTGGAGCAAACTTAGAATGACTCAGCCTCCATCCTTGATTCTTCCCCGACAGTCCAGGACATAATGACACTTGCTGCTTTGTGGGCCATACAGCCTGCTACTGCCATTCACTGTCCAAGGAGTTATGATAGCTGAGGTTGTCCTCTGCCTCTGAGCACACAGAATCAAAGAAAAATCCAGAAGCTTCCAGAGAGAATTAACAAATCTGAACCCAAAATAACTAGGATCCAATGGACATCAATGTTCTCCTTCGTGAAGTCTCTTTCCCTCCCCCATCTCTCCCTTTTCCCTCCCCTCCTCCTCCCCTTTCTTCATCCTTCCCTCAGCTTTGAGAGACGTAACCTCTTTGTCCCACAGAGTGATATCAAACTTATAATCCTTCTGGCTCCATTTCCCAAGTGTGAAGAGGGCAGGTGTACCATTATGTGGGACAAGAAGACCCAATATTTAAATTGATGGATAAGTACTTCTCCAGGAAGAGAAACAGCCTCAGAAGTGCTGTGTGTGATGACTGAAGGGTGGGTCAGCAAGAAGCTTGGTGAGTCTCTCAATAAAACGCAATAACCAAAGGGGGAAAAATATATCCACAATGATTCTAAATTAAGGCCATACATATCAAAATGGTAGTGGGGGAAAAAAGAGGACCTAAGACGTGAGAGAAAGAAACAGGCCCAAACGGACCAATAGTTAAAAATAACCAAACTGCCAGTCAAATGGTCATCTGGCCATGCAAAAATCCTAAGACTTGCTCCTAAACACTGGTGTTCAGAAACATGTTCTGTGATTGTTAGAAGCAGCAATGGCTCATTCTAAAATTGATAGTGTCTGAGCAATCCATATAAAGTATCTGATCATTTTTGTTGAACCTAAAAACAACTGGACTTGTATATGTTTAATTTTGTTGTTTTCTTTATAAGGATCAGGCTGCTGTAGGCTAGGTTGGAGGGGGGCTGACTAGGCTTAAACGTCATCCTCTACCATAGATATACTGCGGGGCATTGCTTACAGCATGGTTCTGGTTTACATAGGATATACAAAGTTATGCATAAGAAATTGAGGTGAAAATCACCTTGGGCCATTACTAATCGCCTACCAAATTGTCAAAGACACCCCCGAAGGGAGCGATCTCAGGGCCAGACCTTTCTTCTTGACAGCTGAAGCATTTCTCAGAGGTTTCTTTCTGACTGCATTCATTGAAGGATGTCTGAGTTTGTTTAGTAGTAGGATTTGTAGTCATTTTGGCTGAGAATTTTCTCCCAGGCTCATTTCACGAGCTGATCCTTTAGACTTTTGTCTCAGCCTGTTATCTAACTCCCTGGCTTTGCCTTCATCTCCTTCTCAGACTCTTGTTTATTCTGCAGTGACTAATCACAGACTCCTTCGTGTTTTTGTGAATAGGTACTTAAAGTAACAGAGTTACTTAAGAATCTTAAGGAGATAGAATTATGGGTTACTTTTTAAACTTTGTATTTCCAAACTACTTTCTACTTAAAATACAAGTTGTATACTTTTGTTGAAAGAAAAGAGAAAGAGCGAGAGAGAGAGAGAGAGAGAGAGAGAGAGAGAGAGAGAGAGAGAGAG